TTTCTTCAGGTGAGCCAGCTCCCTGAGGAATATGCTGATGTCTTTTCAGAGACGCCGGGTAGGTTGGATCTGATCTATCACAACATCGACACTGGGACCGCCAGGATGATCCGTGGCCCAGTTTGCCGTCTGTCTGCCGATCGACGACAATCATTGAAACGCCAAATCGATGACATGCTGGATGATGGCCGAATTGAGCCGTCCTTCACGCCGTTAGCTTCACCTGTTGTGATGGTCCCTAAATCTCAACCAGGTGACAATAGATTATGCGTCGACTTCAGAAAGCTCAAAAGTGTCACTAAAATCGATGCTTACCCTAGTATGCCGACCATAGATTCCATCTTAGAGACCCTGCCTGGCGCCTCTATCTTCAGTTCTCTGCATCTGAAGAGTGGATATCACCAGATGGTCCTCAACCCTGATGATCCCCAACCCTGATGATCGAGAAAAGACAGCGTTCGTGTGTGAGGAGGGCCTGTATCAATTTACAGCGCTCCCCTTTGGAGTTGTCAATGGGCCTGCAAGTTTTCAGCGCCCGATGAAAGTTGTCCTGCAGGGCCCGATTGGGAAGATTTGTTACGTCTACTTAGACGACATCGTGTGTTATTCGTCATCGCCAGCCCAACACTTTGCTGATCTTCGTCAGATTCTAGACAGATTGTATGAGGCAGGACTGACTGTGAATCAACAGAAGTGCTCCTTTGGATGCAGTTCCATGACTTACCTTGGTCACGTGGTTGGTGGCGATGAGCTTAATTCGCACCTCACCAGAGAAGGTCCAGGCCATCTACGATTATCCAGTCCCACAGAATCGCAAACAACTGGAGAGGTTCTTTGGCATGGTCACCTGGTATGGGAAGTTTATTCCTCAACTCGCCACTATCTCTGCACCGCTTAACCGACTTAGACAGAAGACAGCTGCATGGCAATGGACATCAGAGTGTTCTACATCTTTCCATGAAATGAAGCAGAGTCTTGCGTCTAAGCCAGTCCTGATGTACCCTGACCTGAACCGACCGTTTGTTGTCCACACGGACGCCATTAACACCGGTCTCGGTGCTTTCTTACTTCAGGAGACTGATGGAGAGCTACACGCAGTCGCTTATGCGAGTCGTTTACTTGACGCACCGGAACGAAACTATAGCACTACTGAGCGTATAGGTCATTGACCTCTGAAATGTCACCGGAGGTCAAGTTTGATTTGTTTAACATCTGATTATTATTTCTGGTGCCTTAAGACCTATGACATGGACTGAGGTCATAGGAAATTGGTGTTTTCAAGAACAATTGTTATAAATAGTGTATGTAAAGGTCATTGACCTCTCAAAGTTCATCAGAGGTCAAATATAAAATGTCTCCACATCTGAAAAAAAAATTATGGCAGAAAGAACCAGAAAATAGAATAAAATAAAAAAGAAATGCAGTCAGTGACTGCATGGATTCCCGTTGCCCAATTGATGGACTATTATCATTAACATTACCTGTCATTTTCGAATACGTGTAATTCGTCACCGAGGTTTTAGCATCATCGAGTTACGTCCTAACCATATTGTAAAAATTCCGCACACAGGTGAATAGGGCGAGTAGACCTACTTTTGTCAAGGTTTACTATTGGGTCGGCGCATGGGTATTTTCAATCGACGCCTCCGCTGGTGACAACGTTCATTTCCCTGCCCCAGACACAATGCAAGTTGTGGTCCCCTCGAACTTGAAAGCGCTGCTAGCTGGAGGGCAAGTGTTTCACGTGCTGTTGGATGAGGGCGTGGTCACCGGTCCCGGGCCCTGCTATGTTCCATCAGCTGCCGTTACAGATCCCAATTTTTACAAAGTATTGCACAGTGGCTTGCCAAATCGTAAGAACATTACACCATTTGTAGAAGTAGGCTTTAGGTTTAGTTATGATATGAGTGAATTGGTCAAGAATGTATACATAGTTATGGGATTGGTTTTGAAATCCATTGTAAAATGCACGAGGCTTATTTAGTGACTAAATACTCATCACATGGTTGCTATGTGTCCCTCACTCGACCAGTTTTCTTCTATTTGTTGGTGTGATTTGATTTTTTCTCAAAGATTTCTGGTGTCCAAAATCCAGTCCCCAACAATGTATTGTATCCATTTTTGTAATTATCATGTCAGACAAACTTAGTGGTGTTTTTTTTTTTTTATATATAATACTGTTTTTTGTTTAGTATACCACAATCGTCCGTACTACACAACTCCAGCGCCACCATCAAGTTGCTCTGACACAGGTAAGATACGGCTGCTTGTAACACTGTAAGCTTGCATAGGGTGCCCTCACTGTGGACATGTTTTGATTATTTCAATTAACCCTCCGACGCAGAAAGCCCATTTACTAACACGCTTACAGTAAGGGGTCCCTCCGGGGACCCAGATATTTAGCGCCTTGGTTTGAGGCTACACAACACTGTATCTATATGTATACAATCTCGACATGTCTGTAGACTATAAATAAGGAGGTCATTGACAGGAAACAGATGTTGTATACATAGTCTGTGGTCAAGTCGTGCTCTTGGCTACCCGCAAGTGACTTCGTTTTGTGCACGTGTATATGGGCAGCCCAGGTTGTCAGGCTCAGATATGCCTGACCCGGGGTCACACACTAAAGGTGACTGCATATATCCGTAGTGGGTGTCTCTGGCTAGGATTAGATGGAAGATCACCAGAATTGGTTGGAATTTTTTTTTTTATTAAGGTAATTAACCAAATTGGGTCCCCAAAAGGGCTAGTTTCTGCGTCGGAGGGTTAATCGGGTACAATGGAAGTAAGAAGTGTCTACTCATGCATTTGAGGAACAATTTGACACATTACTTGTTGCGCTTTATTCTTCCACTACTTTTTCTTCGTATTGTTGGAAAACCATTTGGGCCCAAAGGCTATTAAAACAACATATCCTGAATAAAAAAGTGTTTTCTTAAAAAGGCTACCAGTGTGTGGGAAGGTGCCAAAGTTCTAAAGCTCATGCTTCACTCTAAAATGCTTACGCTATTAAATAAATCTAAGATGTGGTAAATATAACGGCCTACTGTGTCCAATACAGTGCTAAGAAACTTTACTTATGTAAAAGTAAAGTAAAGTCTGTCCCGAGCCAATGTGGCTCATCAGGCCGGTGTTTATCTCCGGTTTCCTTGGCATGAAACGACTGAGAATATTTCTACTCCCCCTGAATGGGATGCCAGTCCATCGCAGGTTACTCCCCAGCTAATGCCGGTACCCATTCATACTCCTGGGTGGAGAGGGGCAAGTGGGGGTGAAGTGCCTTGCTCAAGGACACAATATATGGCCAGCGGCTGGATTCGAACCCCGGACCCTCTGATCATCAGTCACGAACCCTAACCACTAGGCCACACACACTACCCTTTGTGCTAAGAAACTTTACTTAGAAGTTATATAATCCTACCTAAAGTAAATGATGCCAAGTGTATGTCTTATAATTATGGGATTCAAACTGTATTTTTGGATGACTGTTGGAAGCTGTGAAATGATTTCCTTTACAGAACGTCCCACTGTCATTCAGTCTTGGCCAGCTGATGGATTTTACTCTTCACACAGCTTAGCTAAACTAACCATCCAGTATGATCGGGAGGTTAGTATGAAATAGAATTCCAGGTAACATTTAACTTGCGTTTGCATTCATTGGGGGATGTAAATTTAACGTTTTGGTGTCTTCACAACTTTTTAAGCACAGTAGGCTTATACTACGTTTGTCAGAGAGTTGTAAGAAAAAAACCACATGCTTGCATGTTTGGAACTGTATCACATAGTCTATGGAAAGCCACTTGCAAGTCAAGTGTCTATGATAATTATGCGCGCAGACTCGGCGATCAATTGTGCAAAACAAGACTGCGCCACGATCTCCAGATTCTGACCATTCAGCCGGCATTTTCTATCGGGTCTTTGGTGACCCGTTGTTGTACGTGTTACCAAAACAACATGGCAGCTAAAGGACAAATCAACAGCTTTGACAGAACTTCTGCTCGAAACGACGTCACAATGTCGAGTCTAAAGTTGACCCCGAATGGCTGCACACCCGGGGTTGCACTAAATTTGCATGTTCGTATTAGGCGTTCTTACAGTGTGGCTATCCATGCATACATGTACGTGAACGTCTGCTACTCAGAACAATGGCCTGCTTACACTGTAAAAAAGGTTGGATAAAACACTGTTGGGCAATGTAACTCATCCAGCATTGGTATTAAATTACCTCCGCTTGGGTTTAATTGGGTAAAAACTGTCAAACTATTGGGAAGAATTTGCCCAAGAGTGTAGGCAGTTGATAAATCGACCTGCATTGGTCGAATTATCCACCCATTTTGCCCACTTTTTTTTAACAGTGTGTCAGTGCAATTGTCTTACAAATTAGCAGTTGGCACTGCATTTGAGGCTCTTGATGAAATTCCCATATATGTGACGTGAAAGATTAATGACGAGTAGTGATTCTTATTTTTCGAAGCCACATTTATCTGGAAAGAAGAAAGATGCCAAGTTTTCTAATTTTACTATTGTTTTTCTTAGGTTGTATATTGTCTTCCGAGCAATTTATCCTACAAATGTGTCCTTTTTAGTTACATACTATTGCGTAATAATTTTGAAGAATACATTTAAATAACTCTTCAACGATTTACATTTTGAACCATCGCTGTATCTTATAATCCTAATGCTGGAAAGTTGTGCTATTAATGAACTGAATAAGTCAAAAGTGATCTATTGAATTGCCACTCAATCAGTACAAATGGGTTTTTCCCACAGACTTTTGGTTAAATAGAGTCATGCATTTTTGTGTCTTTTCTTCCAACTATTCATTAGGTCACGGTGGCTCAGAGCCTAACAGGTGTTTACATATACAGACGACATGCTTGGCAGTCTGCCCAGACCTGCAACACTGTCCAGACGGCTGTAGACACAATAGAAACTCGCTGTCATTCGTCGATGAATTTGGATCGATATGATTTGGATGGTAATGGGTGTTTACCATTATAATGGCTGAGGATTTAGTGACTGGTCCTGCCCCGTGTAATGCTTCTTCTGGTTGGCTTGCTATCACATTGTACACCGGCTCACCACCAGGTTGGTATTTGTAGACCTGACTGCTGTGTTGTGGAACAGGGCTTTTTACACTGCCGCATGGTTGTGGAATATACCAAGGTAGAAAAACAAGCACTTTTCAAAAAATTCAAAATGGCTGCCATTTCTTGTGATTCTATTCAAAATACAAATATGTGATAGTCAAATAGCCAAATATCTTTCCCGTGACATACTCTGACTAAGTGCCAAGTTCCATGCTTTCATCGTCAATTGAACAATCTCATCACCAATCTGCCTATACTGTTGGCATATACCCAGAATGTGGTCCTTTTACGCACTCTCAATCACTTGAAATGTGGCCCATCAAGTTCATCAATTTACTCAACAATATACCCTCAAACCGTAACATTTGTACATGAATCAAGGTATTGTAATTTTCTCATTTGAAAATTTGATTTAGAAAAAGAGAGCTTCCGAACATCTTAAATTCACTTTCAGTTTGATTATGAACTAAATTTAGATTAGAAAGGCTGAAAAATACAAACATGGAATAAAATTACAATGAAAGTCGGTGTCTTTTGCATCATATTCATACAGCTACTGATGGTGCCCCAACTTATGTATTTTCCACCCAGCCGTTTGGAGACTTGACCACATCATACCCAGGCTTCCAGCCAACTACTGCTGATTGGGCAACAACCGTGGAAGGTGTAGTATCTTCTTTTAACTTCCAAGACAATACACAACAGATAAGACGATATGTAACCCACCCACTGATTGGAATGCACCCTGGAAGGAGTATTTACTCAATTTCCACTACAATACACGACGGATGAGAGAATATCTATTTAACCCACTGATTGGACAGCTCCCTAAAGGAGTAACTACTCAATTTCCAAGACAATACATGACATATATGACAATATGTAACCAACCCAAGGATTTGACAGCACCTCAGGAAAGTGTAGTAACTACTGAACTTCCAAGATAGTCAGGCAGATTGGTGCAAATATGATAGAAGTGCTCATTTGATGATAAAAGCATGAAAGTTGACAGACAGTAAGAACATGCCCTAGATAAACCTTTTAGCTATAGGGCCATTGCAGATTTGTCCTTTGAAAAAAATAAAGGTAGAATAACAAGCCATTTTCAAAATTTTCAAAATGGCTGTCATTGCTTGTTATCCTACTTGTGTTTTTTTCATAGGAAAATCTGCGATGGCCCTATATATAGCCAAACATCTTTCTCGTGACATACTCTGACTATGTGTCAAATTTAATGTTTTTATCATCTGAACAATCCTATCACCAATCTGACGTACTTAGATAATGCTGGACAGAAACAAAAGTTGTTAACTCCCGCCATACACATGTATATAACACTCGGGGAACTTTCTGAAACTACTCATTCTCAACTTCTGATAGTCAGGAGGATTAAATCCCATTTTTGACAAGGTCATAACTGACTGGTCTGAAGCACCAACTTTGGCAGATAGATTCTTATGGTCCTAGTGGAGACTATACTCACGAAGGATCATAGGTCTGGAAACTACTGAACTTCCAAAATCCAAGACCGTGCTCGAGAGGGTAGACTAGTATTGTACCCGACTTTACTCTGTGAAAATAATTAGTTAAACACTTCTAGGCAATGTTACTAACCCAACATTTCTACGAAGTCACTTCATTGTTAGTTCATGTGAGTAAAATGTGAGTAAAATGTGACCAACTAGAAGAATTTGCCAAATAATTAAAATAAAAAAAATCATGATGTTTTCGTTATCAGACGAGGTGACAAAAACCAGTTCATTTATTTGCTTATGATTATGTAGGAACTGAAGCTCCGTACACAAAGGAAGCAACAACGCCATTGCTGGACTGTGAAAGTGTCGGTAAGAGGGCGTTTTTTCCTTCTAGCTCCATTTACTTCAAATATGGGAAACAACATTTGTGTGGGAGAAGTTAAAAATCCCTCCAAAACAGATGATTTTTAAAAATGAAAATGTGATTGGACAAATTTGATCACAAGCTTTTTCGTTATTCAACATGCTAACGAAATCGAATGCTTTACTACCACCTTTGATGAAATCTCTTCTTGAAGTTCGTTTATCTATGTGAACTCGTTTAAAAAAAAATCATTAAGCCTAAACATTGAAGCTGCAACAAAGGATTTAACTCCTTGTTTTAATACAGCCCAGAATTTCACCCTCAAAAGGGGGATTAGACCACGTGCAGTTAAGTGACTGCATGTCACTACTGTATATAGATGTTGAATAGTTTTTACACGGCAGGCTTATCATCATACATTTTTGATGCCATCAAACAAAGCATAAGTGTTGATGTTCGGTGGCATTATGAGTCGAGCCATGAATGCAGATACACACCCCACCCTTAGCGTGGAAAACTACACTTCTCTTCAGATATTTGATATGTGACATTTTCAATTCATATTTAGGATATCTTTCATTTCAAATACCTCCATGTTAACCTCAAGCCACTGCTGCGTTGGCATACCATGGCCATACCATATAACTTATATTGATTGATGTTTCTTTAGCACCTCCTGTTGTCGTTGAGGCCTGGACTAACGCTACGGTCAACGTGCCTGGTCACTTTATGATTGAGAATTTTAGGTTTGATCAAGATGTGAGTATACAAGCCTGGTAGGTAGACATGTTAAGATGTTAGACAGGCCCGTACAATGGAAGAGAGGGGTTCGAAAGAAAGATTTATTTCAAGTAAGTTAATCAGGACTGGTGATGAAGGGTTGTTGCTAATGATTATGCGATTGTTTGGCAACCAACATCTTAATTACAATGATCATGTGAGATATCTTATATCTTAGGTGGGATATCTTATTGCATTTATTACTCAGAAATCTCTTCTTGAAGTTCGTTTATCTATGTGAACTCGTTTAAAAAAAAATCATTAAGCCTAAACATTGGAAGTTTCCTGGGTGCTGAACAACAGCCATATGTTTCATTTTCTTGTGTGACGTCACGTATTTACTTCAGGTATCAAGGCCGACCGCCAGCCTAGCCAATTTGAATAGACTAGAATATAACCTTCCAAAAATGTTTATTTCTACTGTAGATTCGTATTGTATATCTAAGCAAGTTATTCAGACTCTAAATAAGGTTTGTTGCTAAAGAGGATGCTTTTGCTAGGCAAACACCTTCATTTGCGTGACCAAATATTATAAAAAATATTCTCTTCATAGTACTCAGACATCTTCTCTAAATGCTTGTCTATTGATATGAACTCATTCAAAAAGAAAATAGAACGTATACATGGCTCGTATTCTTCTCAGTGTTGTGCATCGTCGAGTTGTGCACAATCTGTTGGTTGTGCATCGACATCCAACAGCCGCTGGGTCAGTTGTACGTATAGATATAGAATAAAAAGACTAGATCGGCGGCGCGTGATTGGTGAGGAGTTACGTTTAGAAATAAAAAATAATAATAATTAATCAACTTTTAAAACATGAGCGAGTTGTAAACACGAGCAAGTTTAACCCTAAAAGGGCCGGGGCGGTCCCACCTAAGATCTCGGCCATCGAGGGACAACAAATTGTGTAACTCGGTAAATGGATAAAACAACATCATAAACATACCAAAGAAATGTCATCACTATAGGTCAAAGGGTTTTGGCATTATGGCTAATTAATTATGCATATGCACAAGTGGTAATTCTGGTCTATGTACACAACGTTTATGGGGAAATTCAGTTTTCACGAGCGTAGTGTCGGAGCTGTTTTTTGCAGCGCGGCAACCTGTGTTCCGATTTTAATGTTTTTGGCATCACAAGATGCGATAGGCTCGGGGCTAATAAGTCAGAACAGCTCGGGTTGCGAAAAAAAAATTAAAGTTAGCGCGGAAAAAGTTGAGGGGGGGGGGGCGGATTCCGCCCCGGCCCCTTTAGGATTAACTTTAAAATCAGAGAAAACTCGGTCCAAAACAATCCTCAGATTGCACCACGTACAGAGAATCTAGAATCCGACATTTTTTCAGCGGGGCCCTTGAGTGGGCTGCGATTGTTTTTTTCAAACAACATCTGCATTACATGGTTGTGAGCGCCCTCTACGATACTTTTATGATACTTACACAGGTATATATTACCATTAATTTCCATGACTTGTCGAGCAGTGCGATAACTCAGTTTTTATAGGGTCGTGACTTTGTACCGTGAGGAAACCGCCGTGTTTGTCCGGTGCCACCAAAATGAACCAGGGCTGTGCTACTTTTTTATGCTCACTATTGGCTTTATTCACGAGTCGGCCTTGCTGAATTAAAATGTTAGGTAAAATCTTAATTGTTTGAACTTGCGAAGAAAAATGAAAACAACTTGATTTATAATAAATTCCAGTCTGCTTCAATGAGTAATTTAAAACTTGTTATTAAACATTCCCTAATGTTTAAAGCCATATATTATTTACAGCCATGATATTTAAAAAAAAAAAAAAAAAAAAAACAGTAAAATAAGGCTGTATTGTGCCTGCATAAAAAAGTTTGGCTCCAACTCATTCAACATTTAAAAAATAATGAAATACATTCACGGAACTCGACAAAAATGGCCAACTCATGAATATAGAGCAAGAGGCAGGGGGGCGTTTATTTTGTGTAAATGACCAAGTGTTTAGTGGGTATTTTTGGAAAGGGTGCACCTTGGGGAATTCGAATTGAATAGTCTGATGGTTCCTTGGCGGTGGACCTGGATACCAGGAGCAGATAAGTGACGTCACATAAGCAGTGGTTACGACATGCAACAGCCGTCGGGTCAGTAGTGGACTGTGTACGCAGAACACAAGTACTACTGACCCAGCGGCTATTGGATGGCGCACTCAACGATGCGCAACACTGAGAAGAATACAGGCCATATGTTTACGTTTTATTACCTTTTTAAATGATTTCATATCAATGGACGAGCATTTAGCGGAGATGTCTGAGTACTATGAACAGCATGTTCGAGCATTTTATTACACAAATGTAAGTGTTGGTTGCCTTTTTTTTTGGACCACGGATAAATCATTATAAGACACACATAACTTGGTAATTTAACTTTCAAACTACAAACAAACACAACTTGTCGAAAGTTTATACAGTAACCACATTGAGTTGGCTTTCACTTCTGAATCTTGTATGCGTGGACTCATTGAACTTGTTTTGAGGGATCGAGTTCTAAAGACGGTTCTAAGACGGTCTTCTGCTTATTTAGATGACCTGAACGCCACTGTACAGCCCTCCTTTTGTGTCCAATCGCGGATCTGGGGATCCAAAATAATTTGGTTATAGTGGTCAGAAAATTATTGTCTGAGATCGCACCCACAGAACATCTGGAATCAAAAAGAAATCTGCCGGCCCTGAATCCCCTTCCGTATTTCTTAGACCCATTTTAGGGTGACCAAAATTAAATGTGTTCTGGAACCGCCCTTGTTTTTCTCTAAACGTACCACAAGTTGAAATTGGAACCAAAATACAGAATAAAGGATAAAGGAAACAATCTTAGCCTAGACTTCGGAGAAGTATACAAGATATGTTGTTTTCTCATGTCATGGGTCCTTTGCTAAGGACCTTTGTTTTGCTTCCCTGACAAATTACTAGGCAGGTTTAAGATTATATAGCAAACCTAGTTTCATTATTGAAATAATTCCGTTTGACTTAGCTCGTGTAGATTTGTGTCTAGTGTTAAAGTTCAGGTTTTGAACAGTTTTACTATGGATTAAGAGGGAGCCGCTGCTAGTTAACATTCACAGTCAAATTATCCTGATCATAATGATACCGAAGGTGAAATATTCTATTCATGACTCCAGTAGCTTTTCATTCTGTTCATCCATTGAGTTTGAAAGAAAATAGTTCTAAAACGTTGTCCATATTCTGCTCAGTGCTGCGCATCAGCAGTGTTTTTATCTCCTGATGCGACATAATCTATCTACTCCTGGTATCCAGATTCACCGCCAGGTAACCATTCGAGTTCTCCAAGGTGTAAACTTTCTAACAAAAATACCAACAAACAAATTGGTAATTTCTTTTGTAGATTTATTTCAAGTAAGTTAATCAGGACTGGTGATGAAGGGTTGTTGCTAATGATTATGCGATTGTTTGGCAACCAACATCTTAATTACAATGATCATGTGAGATATCTTATATCTTAGGTGGGATATCTTATTGCAATTATTACTCAGAAATCTCTTCTTGAAGTTCGTTTATCTATGTGAACTCGTTTAAAAACAAAATTATCCTTCAGGCTAAACATTGGAAGTTTCCTGGGTGCTGAACAACAGCCATATTTTTCATTTTCTTGTGTGACGTCTCGTATTTACTTCAGGTATCAAGGCCGACCGCCAGCCTAGCCAATTTGAATAGACTAGAATATAACCTTCCAAAAATGTTTATTTCTACTGTAGATTCGTATTGTATATCTAAGCAAGTTATTCAGACTCTAAATAAGGTTTGTTGCTAAAGAGGATGCTGTTGCTAGGCAAACACCTTCATTTGCGTGACCAAATATTATAATATTCTCTTCATAGTACTCAGACATCTTCTCTAAATGCTTGTCTATTGATATGAACTCATTCAAAAAGAAAATAGAACGTATACATGGCTCGTATTCTTCTCAGTGTTGTGCATCGTCGAGTTGTGCACAATCTGTTGGTTGTGCATCGACATCCAACAGCCGCTGGGTCAGTTGTACGTATAGATATAGAATAAAAAGACTAGATCGGCGGCGCGTCCACACTCGCCCATTCACTGTGCGATAAATCTCCGCCATTTTTGTTGTCTCTCGTGGACGCGCAACAAATGAACGTAAAGTAATGGAGCTAAATGCATCTTTCCTCCAGCACGTGACCTAGCTCAACGCGCGCGAAGCTAGAAAAGAGCACCGAGTATTACGCGATGCGCACACGCGTTAGCGATGCACACGAGGTACTGTGTGCGTACACGGCGTTGCGTTCGTCACGTTTTGCGCGCAATATTTGTATCTTTCCTCCAGCACGTGACCCTCCATGCACGTCCGCGCGTGTGGACGCGCTGCCGATCTATTTTTTTAAATTCTATATCTATGGTTGTACGTACGTTCTGCGTACACAGTCCATTCTCGACACGGCAGCTGTTGCATGTCCAAACCACTGCTAATGTGACGTCACTTATCTGCTCCTGGTATCCAGGTCCGCCGCCAGGGAACTTTAAGACCAGCCATTCGAATTCCCCAGGGTGCCCCCTTTCCAAAAATACCCACTAAACACTTGGTCATTTCCACACAATAAAAGAACCCTGGCTCTTGGACTAATAAGGCCCATTGAACGTTTCGCGACCTGGCTTGCAATCAACGCACACGCATATTGGGGTCAAGGTTGCACCAAGAGTTCCTGCGTGTTATTATACCGCACACTACACGAACGCCCTGAACAGTACATGTATGCGGCGGCGCAGGCGGACTAAACCCATCCAATTACCGGCTTGATTTCAATTCCAAAAAACAAATGGAACGCTCATCATTCAAAAGTTAAAATTCATTAATTGATTACTTGCCAACGGCGACTTTTTTTTCGAGCAATATCTCATTGGAAAGACAATTATCAATTCAATTTGAAAATCTATATCTCAGGGTACCGCATAAAAAAACACGTAAACACCAACCTAAAATGTCACATAGCAAGCACATTAAAATATCACCCTTCCTGTATCCCTCTTTTGCATTTCAAATCATTGATTTTCACAAATTCAAAATAACATTCAAATTGCAGATAACCATAGCAACAAGCCCGGGTCGGGCTTATTTGTGCGTCAGCAGCGGTTGTATGCTCTCAATGCCTACCCAGGTACATTGGTACGTACGATTTCCAGCTCCTGACACACTGCAACTTCTACTAAGGGATCGACTGTATGGTCAGATGTCCCTGCCCGTTGGAACGGAATATCATTTCATACTTGGTGAAGGTGCAGTGAAAGGCCCAGCACCATGCTATGTACCATCTGCTGCTCTCAATGATCCATACCTTAGTAGAGCAGTGTACGGTGGTGTACCACATGGTGAGTAAATACGTACTGGTGAATTAATAGTACTGTGTGTAATACGCTTATCTCACTCAGTCGAATAGCTGTCAATGACATTCCATGGACAGCTACAAAACTGAGCTTTGTTTAACGTGCCTGTCTCTGATATTGCTCAACTTCAGCAGTTTATTTCTTATTTTTTTTGTTATAGAGAGAACATGCTCTTTATCGTCGTTGTTTCAAATGTGATTGCTTATTAAGAACACAATAATATTAATTCGGTTCCCTTCATTTTACTTACCCGTTGTCATTACACAATCAACAGTCACATATGTTTCACTATAGGCAAATATTCGTCTCTGCAATTTATACCTCAACTTCATCAAATTCTAAATTTTTAATTTCTTGTTTGAAGAGCAGGAAATTGTAACAGTGCTGTTTAAAAAAAAAGGGTAAAAAGCAGGTAACTGGAAAAAAAACTCGAATAGAAGAAGTACCTAAAAAAGTTGAAAAACAGTGAACAAATATTAATAAAACCAGTGAGAAAGGAAAACCATATTTTACTTCCAAATTTGTATTGCCAACTTGGATCACTTCCAGTTCCAGCGATATTCGCACCAACCAGTCCTTTAAAACCTAGTTCAGAGGAAACAGTAGTGAATGAGGACTCATCCAAAATTAACCAAAAAAATATATCCGTTTACAAGACAATCACTTTTAAACCCAACCAAAATATTTTGAGCCGGAGGCATATAACAGCAAACATGCAAGCTACATTTTGTCCTTGTGAAATCGGACATATGCAGCGCAAATCAGCTGATAAGTCGACAAAAATAAAAAGGAGTAAGATGGAATGGCATTGTCATTTTTTTGAAACATTTGCTTTTGACAGCAACCGATGGGGCCCAAATATACACCACTCCAGTGCACTGGGATTGGACCATATCATCGGAATCTGACAACCCTACCAGACAGCCGACAGAATTCACAACAGAGGAGATTGTAGGGGCTAGCCACCAGCCAGAAATGACTAAACCACCCCTATCGTTGTCAGTGGACTGCTCTGACTCTGGCATGATGATTTTCATTCCCCGCTCTATGATCGGTGATGCCCTGGCAACTCATCTGCATTTTCTGGACCCGGCTTGTGTCGGTAATCGTCATAACGCCACCCATATTACGATTGCAACAACTTACGACGGATGTGGGACTTTCATGGAGGTATATTCAGCAATAGTATTATTATTATTATATTTATTAGTTGTACAGGTTTAATTTTAAACGTTCTTACCGTGCTTTAATTCGGGAAAGCTGATCACAAAAGTTAACCTACAAGTCAATCGGGCTTTTAGGTGGATTTTATGCAGTCCAAATTTTATATGACACAGGTCCTTCCAGAAGTCTTTATTGGAAAAGTGTGTGCTAATAACGCCCTTTACCGACCTACATGTAGAATTACTAGGTTTGTGAATTAGATTGCTCATCACAACAAAAATGCACAATTGTGTTTGAAATAATACATTCATCATTGGCTTTTCCCTAATGCTTTACACAAACATCTTTGACCCCCAAGTTGCCATTACAGAAACGCCATGTCAAGTTCTCAAAAATGAGCTTCAATCAGGAACGGTAAATAACTTTCAAGAGCTCCAGTGTGGCACACTGTTTGCTGCAAAATCCTCAATTGTCATGATTAGCTGAAGAAAATACCCTGAAATAACAGGGTTTCATAATTCTATTTTGAAGCGTTTGTGGTTGTGCCTTAAAAGGTTCTGTCACGGTTTATCTTCAAAATTGTTTTTTTGGTTTCTGGCAGGTTCGTGGAGACAATGTGATTTTTTTCAACGTCATCCACGATGAGGCTATCCCTGTGGAACCAGGTAGTGTTATAACCCGAGACCAAGATATCGAGATTCCAGTCCAGTGCATGATGGACTTGGAAGGGATCGCTGAAATAAGGTGGGTCTGTGAGATAATGCAATTCGAGTCCACTTCGTGGACCTGAATGGGAAACGCGCTGCACTATGATACGTTGGAATTAAGGAACCATGTCAGAATCGGAGACTATATGGTTTCTAGTCATGTGCATCATTGAAATTGAAGGGATGGGATTGCTGAACTAGATTTTAGGAAAACCAGGCAATATTGTATACTTTGACCGAAATATCAGTTGGCATTCCCCGTGCACTATATGGAAGGATTTACTGGGCTAAGGTAGGTTGGAAGGATTCAAGCAGATCAGATGATATAACCCGAGACTGAGGTAATTTAAGTGCATGGATTTGGATCGCTGACCTCGGTTAATTGAAGAAGTCAAGCGAAGATATAACCCAAGACCTAGATATTGAAGTATTCCAGACCAGTGAATGATGCACTTGGAAGCTAGGTGGGTTGAAATTATGAAATCAGGCAGTTTTAACCCGAGATTTAGATATTTGGAAGTCAGGGCAGTGAATCTTTGACTTAAAAATAAGGAATAACTGAGCTGGGCTGGTTTTGAGGAAACCAGGAAGAGGTATACCCCGAGACCAACAAATTGACAGCATTGATATGTCATCTATTCATATGCAGTTTCCGTCCGGATACCTCCAAGATCACATTCCGGGAGGATGGCTACGGCTCCTTCAACTTCTCCCTCAGACTTTACCATGGCAACGATTACACCACACCCTACCAGCCTGTTGACTACCCCGTCCACGTCGCAATGGGAAACAAACTCTACTTCGAGGCTCGAACTTGGAGTGAGCCTGGACTGGAGCTGTTTGTGCAGACGTGTCGCGCCACGCCTACCTCCAACTCGGATGATTTTCATCGTTACACTTTCATCCAAGATGGGTGAGCTAATGGTTTCTATGAGTAAATAAAATCGAGTTATGTGATGTCTTACAACAAAAGCATGTTCAGAATCACTCAGACAAGCTTGTTCTTCTGCCGAGGTAATTTTACCAAATGAGTTTTTTTGTGGGTAGGGGTTCAGAAAACGATTTGAGTGTGCCATAGGTCTTTGAGTTCATGTATACTTCAATATAATCAACAAAATCACACACAATCACACTTTTGGGCCCCCCCCCCCACCCCATGGACATTTTTCATGGGAACACAATGGAGATTGCCCATGGGGTCGGCATGGAGATTTCTCATGGTGGTCCATGGGGTTTTGGACCCCACGTACCACATGGGTTTCCCATGAAGCATGGGATTTGGAATTTTCACCATGGGGTTTTGTCCATGAGACACAATGGCGTTTTTTCAGCTGTGCATGGTGTTCCCATGAGACACCGCCGTAGTTTAAGAGACCACCATGGTGTTTTAAGAGACCAATCCTTATAACTCCCATGTGTTTCCCATGGCCTCGCCATATGGCATTTGGGTAATGGCCCCCACCCCCAGGTAACAAAAATAAAAAGAAATCAAAAGGCTTCTATACACGTTTCTTAACAAAAATGGATATCACCTCATTTTCAGATTCTTGTTTTATTTTTTTAAATGTGAGCTAGGAAGTTGTGGTACCATGTGTTTCGTTTGATTCTACACAGGAACCAGAAAGAGGAACAATTATGACCCTCTTGATCTTTTGCCCAAACGTGTAATTGACATTTAGAGGATCCTTTATTTTCAATTAAACTGTCACAGAGTCTTGACCACCCATTTTGCTGTTCTTGTATCTAATTTCTATTGTGCAGGTGCATCGAGGACAGCACAGTGATCTTCCATCCATCATACGACCCGGACGTAGAACGTTTTGAGATTGATGCCTTCGCATTCGTAGATACCCTACCTCAGCCGGTGGTATGTGTTAAATTTCCTTGAGGTATTACAATTGTGCATGAACTATAGCGGGCGCTGTATAGCAAAGCAGCAGGGTCAAATAGTGAAGATCGCCTACATTGGTTGACCTGTACTGTGCATATAATTGTACTGTAGAAGAGATGGAGTGGTTTTACTTACCAATAAAATTTAGTGAGGCTGGGCACAGAGAATGAAACCCTTACAGAGCGGGTTCTAATTGTTTTCTTGTTCTAATTGTTTTCTATTAGTTGCCAATATTCTTATATAAATGACAAAGCGTACATACTGTACAACTGTACAGAGTGTGCCAAAAGAGTGAAACTGTTGGAAAAACAATGAATAAACACAGTTTAATTGTTTTTTTCTTCAATGAAATAAGATATTACATTAAAGCCTGACTATACTTCAGTTCACCCCTTTTTACCCCATGCCATTTGGGTCCCTAGATCCAAAAATACAATCCATTAAGTGAAAGGGTGTACATTTTACTGATGTCACTCCCACCTGTGGTGTCATTAACTTCAATGCCCATTCAATACATATTCAGTGGTCAACCCAGATTTAGCTTGTCCAAGGAGTGGATTGGCAAATGGTCAGGCTTTAATCTGATATAAAAGTTCATTGAAGAAAAAGCAATTAACAGTTTTACTTATTTGTTTGCCTGAATGTTGCATTTTGTTTGACACACTCTGTAGTTACTTTCAATTACATAACAGATTTGGAATGGTTTAAGGTTAAGGCTTGGCATTCATAATACAAATCAAATAGAGCTAGTTTCTCACCGTTCTTTGGAAAACTCCAAAATCTTAAGTTAATTTCTTGTTTGTTTCACTATGTTGTTATTCATATATCTGCCAGGCACCATGTCATAGACCTACAGTTGTATGTCAGGTTAATCATTTATTTATTTATTTCTTATTGATCCTGGGTGATCCACTCAGTGAGGAAAACTCACTGATTTCCCATGGATCCCAGCTCACACAAAACTACTGGTCAGCAAGAATGATTCAGAAGCAGATGCAGGATTTTCAAAATCTCAGTGGGCCCAGAATTAAAAAGCAAAGAGTTTTAAAAGGGCGGGGGCGGGCTGAAGCTAATGATTGTAGTTGATGCACACAGAGACAAATGATTCTTTTCCATCTGAATACTAGGGACCTAGATGTTGTAACTTAATGTCTCAAGTTTTATCTTATTTTCAAATCTGTTCCTTCTTTATAGGTGTACGTCCATTGTGACATGGTTCTGTGTAACTCCACTGATGCATCCTCGCGCTGTGCCATTGGATGTCCAACTAGAGGCATGAACTTACTCCCCGGTGTGCACAGACGCCATGCCAGATCTGCGTCTGGTTCCCGCGCTTATGCCATCACGCAGGGACCCATATCCGTGATGGAAGATGGGGGGAAAGGTAGGGAAAGGATAAGGGGTAGGCTATGAAAAATGGAACATGACTAGGGTGGGGATGGGTAGGGTGGTAGGGTGTAAGTGTTAGTCAACATGTTTGGGACTCTCACTTCTGTGTTTGAGAGTGCCAAACATAAGATAGTAAAAACATGCAGTACAATAGACTGACAAATGAAACAACCAGTCCAACACCCCTGAAGTACTGCATCAAGTAACTGTGTCAAAAGAAACATCTGATACACAGTGTCTATTACCACACATTTTTTATTTCTACACAAAGTCATGCCACCAAACTACTGAAGGGTCAGTTTTTTTGGATATGTACCAGTCTAGCCTTGCCCTTTAGCCTCAAATAGAATAGGTGCACAGTGTTGAATAAACGTCATGTCAGTCTTGATTTGAGACCTCAAACTTTGCTGGTGCAATAGTGGAGACCTAGTCTTTACCTCATGAGAATTTTGGAGAAATTTGTTAACTATAGAGTCAGTATGTAAGTCGGCCTGATTTGTATTGCATGTTTTTCTGCACTCAAGGTGCAAGCCTGGTGTAATATGTACAGTGTAGTTGTGGTGGGACAGGGAGGGGCAGAGAGATAGGGTGGGTGATATGAGTAGGTTGGGATGAGGTTGGTAGGATGGGGTAGGCTGGGATGGGGCAGGGTGGAAGGGGAGGGTAAGGAGACATTGGATGTGCTGCAGGGATAAATTGATTGGAAGGGTTTATAAGGGAGTGTAGTGACTGGGTAGGGACGAGTAGGATTGATGTTGGTGGATATAGATTAGGGCAGGATATGTGTAGGTGGGAAGGGTAGTGTGCAATTAGACTGGGTGTGGTGGGCTGGGTGGGATGGAGAGGAAGTTTTAGGGAGGATTAGGTAGGGAGGGGGCTGTAAGTGTTTTGGAGTGGGATATAATAGTTGGTATAATATAATAGGCTGGTATAAATAGGGATGGAGAGGAAGTTTAGGGAAGGAATGGGTATAGGGAGGAGTAGTGTTTGAGTAGGGTACATGGTATATGGGATAAGATATGCAGCGGGACTGTGTGTGTGGTGGGCAGGGTGTGATTGAATGGAAGGTGGGGGATTAAATGGAAGGAAGAGAATGCAAATAGGAAGAATTAGAGTTGTAGGGAATAGGGTGGTGGAATAGGGTACCATGGAGTGCGTTGGGTGTGGTATGGATGGAGTAAGGGTTAAGGGATGGATTGTTTTTGTGGTGGTGGGGTAGGATATTGGGCAGTTCGAGTCGGACTTAAATTGGTGCGGTATGGTTGGCAGGGTGGGATAGATTGGGGGTAAAGGGATAGATTCGGCAGAGAGTAGTGTTGGAATAGAGGGGTGGAATGTAGTAGAAGGGATAGTGTAGGGTAGAGTGGGTTAGTCTAATTAAATTTTGGGTTGATTGCATAGATGTATAAAGAGTGTGGAGTATGGTTGCATGGGTGGGTATGACACAGTGGCTTGGGATTTCGATTGGGATGTGTGTGGTGAGATGTTTGTGGTTTGTGTCAAATGCAGTTGGGGTAGATGTTCGGGTATGGTGTTAACTAGACTAGGGTTGGATGAGCAAAGGAGGTGGGGGATTAAAGGATGTGCAAATAAAACCCAAAATATGTCCATTTTCAAATGTTGAATTTGTTAAGTCAGATAATGGCATTTTGTGTTAAATTCCTGCTCTAAAAATTTAGCATCTGTACGCTTTTGTTTTTTGTTTTTTTTTCTCAGAAGGAAGTCATATGTCGTCTGTTCAGCTGCCAGTCCTTCTGACTACTGTCTGCCTATTGGTTGGCTGCGTGCTGGTACTCGGCACACTGATTGTCGTGATGCGTAAAGGCACCCAACGCCTTCAACTGTACTCGCCACTGGCCACTGAAGAAAACAAGGCACAGGAACTGTCTACTAGTCTTAGTTCATAAAAGGAAATCAATCCATATTTCTAAAAGATTTAAGAGAAATTGAGAACAATTAAAGTAAAAATCTATTATGCTGATAGGCATGGATGATATTTAATAGAAATTGATTTAATGCAGTAAAATTAAGTTGTCTTCAATTTGAATAGCTGTCGTATTCCAATAAAAGTAACTGGCTTACTAGAGTAGTAATCACATATTTTTTCTTCAAGCTCATATGACAAAATTAATCAGTAACTAAATTCTTTTTTTATTTAGCTTTTTTCCCATTTTTATTCTTATTGAGAACAATTAAAGTAAAAATCTTTTTTTCTGATAGGCATGGATGATATATAATAGAAATTGATTTAATGCAGTAAAATTAAGTTGTCTTCAATTTGAATAGCTGTCGTATTCCAATAAAAGTAACTGGCTAAGTAGAGTAGTAATCACATATTTTTTTCTTCAAGCTCATTTGGCAAAACTAATCAGTGACTAAATTTCTTTTTTTATTTAGCTTTTTCCCCATTTTTATTCTTATTAGCAGTAGAAAAATTGCTAATTACCCGGAAATTAAAGCAAATGCCCTGCCGATTCGATGAGAAAAAAAAAGTAGCTCAATTTGGTGCATTGAGTGGGCAACGATTTTTTAATACCCCCTTATGAAAATGAATGAAATTTTTGCATTAATATTAAAAAAAGTGAGAAAAAAATGCTTTTTCTTAATTATCGTTTAACCATAATTTTTTTAAATGCTTATCACCCACGGCTATCTCAATGCCAAATGCTTACAAATTAATAGATAAATAAATCGTCGAATTGATGTTGTTGCAAATGTCGTTTGAATGCTTTCTTTTGATTTTCAATGTTTTAAAAAAAAATTGTGCGTGCATTTTTCAATAATAAATCGGGGAAAAGGTGCAGATCGATTTAAAACGACTGCCAACGTCGAGGTAAATTACAAAACCCTAGATATGACTTCGTCCCTCCTTTTTTTTTACCTAGTTACACCTCCTTTTTTGCCCCCCCCCCTCGCGACGCTCATGCACGTGTGTACATGAAAAGCAATCATACAACATTCTCCCTCTTAGACTTGAATTTATGTGTAATTTCCCCCCCCCTTCTTTGTATCTAGTCCAATTTCTGAATGTTCCCAGCCGGCCAGAGAAACCCCCCCCCCCCCTTCAAAGAGTCATGTATGTCCACCGCACTACACTCGACACAACCCTCTCTTTATATAGAGATCAGTGCATATGCATGAGACTTTAGGACATGTAACCAGTCTACTTTGTTTACTGTAGGCGCACCGTCGATTACGTGCTTTCGGTTAATTAATGTTATATACCATCATGCCATGTTAGAGTTATAATCTTCTATTAATAGCCTGACATTTTTTAAAGTGCCGTTGTATTTTTTATACTCTTAGTAGAACTTAAGTTTTACAATTAGTTTGGAGGCCTTCAGCTCTGTAATAAACTAAGTTTTGGGCCGAGCCTAACTTTCCTACGCTACGTACCTCGCCATGGCCTACGTCCGTCCGTGCATACGTGCGCACGTGCAAAACTCGCAAGCATCGGGCCTTTGCAGACGTACCGTAAGTTTCACTTTTGTCGTTCAGTCGTTGGCAGTGTTCAATTTGTGGACGCTACTTTTTGTGTTCATGTTTTCTGAACATGCAGGACATTTCTTGAGCATCAAATGTGAATGAAATCCGTCGTTTTGAACGGATTTTTGTGGTTGGACTTGTCGAGAAAGTTCTGCACATGAGTTCGTTTACGTACATGACGTACGTGAGCTGCTATTGTGACTCGACGACAATTTCGTGTAGGCCCTATTGTGGATCCAATGGCTCTCTCTTGAGCGGAAAAGAATGTTGCATTCTGACGCTACTTTTTTCAATGAAGGTCAGACATGGAACAAATATTGGTAATACATGAATCTGGGACTGAAAAAAAAATTCCTGTTTTGTTGGGAAATACTTTGAAAATACGCTCAACTCTACATGAACTCTGTAACAATCAAAGAAGTGGCGTCTGGATACTACATTATTTCCGTATTGTAGTGTTTTACAAAATAAAGAGTGTAGTTTAAATACAGCTGATAGTGTCCATTGTAAAAACTTGTTCTTGTAGTTGGATTCCTTTTAGTAACAAGACTAACTAGACTGCCAGCAACTGTACGATGCAAGGCTTATCCATTGTTACGTTCCAATAGAATTCTTTAAATTGTGCTGTTTGCATTCAACCGTTACAAATGGACCAGGGCTCGGAAAGGAATGACCATTGACATTTCGTCCGGCATTTCCCTTTACCACAGTACTTTGGATTGAGTTTCTTCTGGGATTTCCTCAGCCAAGATGGATATATTACTCATGTACATCTTTACATATCCAGTTCCACCAGAGCAACAGCTTGTGGGAGTGACCGAGGAAGGGAGCATGGCCCCTATTGAGGTAAGCTTTTGTTTCATTAATTTCTCAGGTTCGATGATTGGCTTTTGTGTGTAATTAATTTGTTGGAAATAATTCCATACTGGGCCACCACTTATATTCCCTCAAATGACCTGAAGAGTACCAAAAGTTGTAAATCTGATAAAGAAACACCATTTTAAAGAGTGCAACATTTCTTAGGTAATTAACTTTTTCTGTCATGGCCCATATACTTTGTGCAGGAGGTAGTGTGGTGGTCCAGTATGGAATTCTTTCCAGTTTGTTTGTTCGGAGTTGGATTTACACTAGGCACGTAATGTGAGCTGATTACAATGCATTTTGCCACGAATGCGGTGCAAAATATATTGACCAAACAAATACAAAATTAATGTAATAAATTGTGCATCTTTTGTATTCCCGTACAAGCTAAGGATCACGGAAACTCCACAGAGTAGTTTAAAAAGTTACAATGTTGTATTTTATTGTTGTTGTTTTAGCCATTTTACAATTTGAAAAGTCAGACTTTTAATCTGATTTTAGATAATGGAATCAAAGTAATGTTTAACGATTCCCAATCATATGTGTACATTGTAGGTGTCCAACTGATTTGCTATCACAATTAAGAGCAAAATATTAGCTCTACACTGCATTCAAAAATTAACAAGTAAAAGTGTCTAGACTTATAACTGGCCACACGTCTTAGTGACCTATCTGTAAAATCGAAATCAAGAATGGCATCTACCCACCTGTTCTTCCCCACCCAAGAATGATGATGATTGTGTTATCACTGGTTCACAGCCCGATTGAAATAGGAATCTCAACGCACGATACACGTCACCAACAAGGGTTCATTATATTTGAAATGACATTCAGGTGTACTTTGAAGTGTTGGTTAGCCCGGAGGATCATTAATTCTTTTCACAATATGATGTTTCACTCTACATGTACATACCATGCGCCATGTGACGTCATGCCGACAGGCAACACTTGTCTTAACCATTTGTATTTCAACAGATATATATATATATGCAGTGCAAAAGTGAACCGTTGACCGAAGGGTCGCGTATGTCACGCGAGTGACGCGACCTCAACATCAATATTTGTAAACAAATTGTACATGTCGGTACGGTTGTTCACTGCACTTGTCAATGTAAAAACAAGTCGTAGTAGCAAAAAAATGAGCTTCTCCATCGTAATCTATTGTTTGGTTGACGTGAATCTCTCGGTGTGAAGATCTTTAAGCATTAACTCTAAGCTTCCCAAATCCTCCACAATTGTCTTTGCATAGGATTTCGAAGGTTTCAGGCTGTATGACAAAATGTGTAGGCTGATTTCGGAGCATGCATTGTGGCATGGACTTAGGCTGTACCTTGTGTTGTTTATACTTATATTATTCTAGAAATCATCCACACTACTTCTGAATATCGACGACACTGCCTCAATAAATCAACGGTGCCTTTTGGAGGATTTTGAAGAATTGATGCAGTAGTGGCCCGACCAATAAATAAATACAGGAAACAGCAGGTGATTTAGGAGGATTGAGGCTACATCAAATGTGTACATGCATGGAGGCAATTGGAAGATTTTGTAGGGTTGAGGCTGCATATATTCTGAGCTTTCACGAAAAAAAATGCAGTCAAAATTAAACTTGTCAATGTGAGTCGTGTTTAGGAGTGTAATACGTTTTTCCTCGATACAGTGACCTCATGCTATCAAGTTCTTTTTTATGCCCCGCGTCGAGGCCGAAGGGGCATACTGTTTCCGCCTTGTCCTTCCGTGGGTGTGTGGGTGGGTGGGTGGGTGGGTGTGTGTGTCCGGACAAATCTTGTCAGCGCGATAACTTGAGAAATACTTAACACATGAACTTCAAATTTGGTTTGTGGATTGTCCTTGGTAATCCTAAGAAGCCTTTTGCATTTGGGGCCGAAAGGTCAAGGGTCAAGGTCACAGTGGCTGAAACAATAGAAATTTTGTCAGCACGATAACTTGAGAAATACTTAACATATGAACTTCAAATTTGGTTTGTGGATTGTCCTTGGTAATCCTAAGAAGCCTTTTGCATTTGGGTCCGAAAGGTCAAAGGTCAAGGTCACAGTGGCTGAAACAATAGAAATTTTGTCAGCGCGATAACTTGAGAAATACTTTACATATGAACTTTAAATTTGGTTTGTGGATTGTCCTTGGCAATTCTAAGAAGCCTTTTGCATTTGGGGCCAAAAGGTCAAGGGTCAAGGTCACAGTGGCTGAAACAATAGAATTTTTGTCAGCGCGATAACTTGAGATATACTTTACATATGAACTTCAAATTTGGTTTGTGGATTGTCCTTGGCAATCCTAAGAAGCTTTTTGCATTTGGGGCCAAAAGGTCAAGGGTCAAGGTCACAGTGGCAAAAACAAAAGAAATTTTGTCGGCGTGATAACTTGAGATATACTTTACATATGAGCTTCAAATTTGGTTTGTGGATTGTCCTTGGCAATCCTAAGGAGCCTATCGCATTGGGGGTCGAAATGTCAAGGGTCAAGGTCACAGTGGCTTAAACAATAGAAGTCTTGTATTTATTCTGAGATCATAGGGATTAGGGATTAATTCATATAAAACCTACAGAAGACACTAATGCTGTCAATGAACGTTCCATTTGACCAAGGTACATGTAAGTTTATGTTAGAGTGATGTTATGTCATGGAAACAGTCACGGTTGCGGGGCATTTGTGTTTGTAAACACACCTGACTTGTTTTATTTTGCAATGCCTGATTTAATACTGAGTTAGTATACAGCAAATAGCCATTTCGCCTTCGGTATGCATGTTCGTTTCATGCAGAAACGATCGGATGGGAAGTTAAATTTTGATCGGGTCAGGATGGTACTCTTGTTCTGACTTATAAATGTTTAAACAATTACATTTTGATTCTCGAACTTTTTATTCGATTTCCGTTCAAACGGTGGAAATTTTGCAAAATTCTTTAATATCACATTGACCCTGCATCGAAGTGGACAAGTCGCCAAATTTCACGGCGATCGAATTAAAAGCATTCCTGGGCTGTACAAAAATGGCTTTGGAAAGGCGGTTCTTAAACAGTACATAACATGGTTAATTCATTGACTAATGAGCATGAAGCAGTTCACGTGCACCACAAATACAACACCAAACCTATTCTACATCAATATGTTGATAAAACAAATGTAGCTGATGCTCTAATACAAAAATATCTCGTTAGTCTAACTTCCGATCCTGCTAAGTTCACGCTCGAAGGCAAACACGCACCGACTAGAAATCAATTCCTTTTTTCCCAAAAAAAATGCGTTAACAATCACTCGGTCACCCTCTCAAAATCCGTTTTTCATTCTAAGAAATGAGACTATATGCCTAAAACCGACAGGCTTAAGGGTCATTGCGTTTAAATGGTG